CTCTTCTCTTGCTTCTGTTTCTCTTCATCTCTCTCTGTCTCTCCCCCGTCTCTGACTCTGTCCATCATCTCTCTCCGTTTCTCCCTTTCTACAGGTCTGTTTTGTGCCTGGCTCCTCTCTCTCTCTCTGCCCCCCTCCCTCCTGTCCCCCTGCCTCCTGTCCCCCTCCCTCCTGTCTGTCTTCCTATGTCCCTCTCCCCATGTTTCTCTCCATCTGTTCATCTCTGCGTCTCTGAGTGCCCTCCTGCCTGCGTCTTCCCTGGCTCCGCCCTCCTCCCCCCCCCTCTCTGCACTCTGTCCTCCCCTCCCCCCCCAGGGCAGCCCACCTTGAGGTTCTCATGGTTGAGGTCGGTCTTGTGCTTGTCGGTGGGCTTGTAGCCCCCGTGCCGGTCCTGGATGATGGGGTCGAAGAGGTCCTTGAACACCACGTAGGACTCCTCATCGCCGGCCACGCAGCCCACGGTCATGATGAAGGGGTGACCTGGGGGTCGGGTGAGGTGAGGGGGGCTCGTCCCCAGCAGCCTGGGCTTCTGGGTGTGGTGTAGACTGCGTGTGCGTGCACGTGCGGGGGAGTGTGGTGCGCGTGCGGGGGAGTGTGTGTGTGTGTGTGTGTGTGTGTGTGTGTGTGAGTGTGTGTGTGTGAGTGTGTGTGAGAAGAGGTCACATCTGGAGGGGAGCTGGGAGAGGTGAGGGGCGTGGGGGTGAGGATGCTGGGACAGGGCAGAGGAGAGGGACGAGCCCCAGGGGACCAGGCACAAGGGACTAAAAATATCACCTCTCCCTGAGGCCCCCAGGCCAGGGAACCCCCCCCTAGAACAGCGGTTCTCAACCTTCCTAACGCCGCGACCATTTAATGCAGTTCCTCATGTGGTGGTGACCCCCGATTTCATTGTTACAAATTGAACATAATGAAAGCACAGTGATTAATCACAAAAACAATATGTAATTATATCTGTGTTTTCCGATGGTCTTAGGCGACCCCTGTGAAAGGGCCGTTCGACCCCCAAAGGGGTCGCGACCCACAGGTTGAGAACCGCTGCCCTAGAATGTTCCAGAACCTTAGACCATCAGCTTCCACACATAAGAGTCTGGCAAGGCCCTCTGACTTCCCGGATGGGGAAACAGAGGCCTCCCTCCTGCTCCCCAGGACCAGCTGGGGGCGAAGGCTGGGGCCTGCACTCCTGCCACCTGGTCCCCTCGCCTGGCGGGTGTCCGTGGAGGAGGGACCACAGCCCCGCCAGATGCCAGATGCCGGCGCCCACTGTGCCGGCGCCGCTCTAGCCTGTAGGGGCCCAGGGGGCGAAGGCCTCTCCGGGAATCTCGCAGGAAACTCCTGTGCATTTAGCGAGGGGCTGGCTCTGGGCCAGGTCCTGTCCCCAGCCCTTCCCACGCACGGGCTCGTTTGTTTCTCACAACAGCCCGTGAGTCTATGGTCCCCACTTTACAGATGGGAACACTGAGGCCGGAAGGCAGGATGGAGCCTGGCGGGCCGCCTCCTGGCCCTGCTCCTCGGGTCCCCGGCTGCTGACCTGGGTTGTCCACACCCGTCTGGATGACATCGTCCAGGGTGAAGCCGGAAGGAGTCTCCTTGTCTCGCAGCTTCTTGTAGAGGTCAGGGGTCAGCACCTTGGCCATGTGGTTGTTGTGCTTGCTGAGGTCCGGGTACTCCTCCTCCGGCTTGTAGTTCAGCTTGTACTTGTTGTGGGTGTTTCCGAACGGCATGGCGGCGGCGTGGGGGGCCTGGTGGGGAGAGAGGAGCGATGGTCACCGCCTCCCGCAGAGATCTCCCGGGAGGGAGCACACAGCGGGCGCTGCGGCCAGGCCTGACTCTGTGCTGGGCGACTTGCGGCAAGCGGGGCCCCTCTCTGAGCCGCGGCGTTTGGACGGGATGTATTTTGACTAAACCTTGCGAGAGACTCGGTTTCTCCAGGAATGGGGATCCTCGGCTGGAGTGGTCGCTGTGGCACGGATAAGCATGGAGGTCCTAGAATCAGGCAGCCTGGGTTTCAATCCCAGCTCTGCCACTTACATGCTGTGTGACCTTTTGCAAGTTGCTTAACCTCTCTGTGCCTAATACGCATCTGTAAAATAGGGGTCAGCATGGCGCTCACCTCGTGGGGAAGTTGGGGGGATTAAAGGAGTTAATGTGGGTAAAGCACTTGGAATGGTGCCTGCCACAGTCAGCGGTTATCTTGCGCAGCTGTTGCTGTTGTAAAGGTCTGTGTGAGGAGCTGGCCAAAAGGTGGAGGTGCTGCTGGGAATGAGTGTGAGCAGAGAAGGGACACTCTGAAGCTTCTTGGGTGTGATTCCAGGGGCTCAGTCAAGGGGTGAGGGGCAGGGCGGACAGGAGGGCTGGTGGCTGCCCCCACCTCTATTGCTGACAAGTCTCCTGCAGGGCTCAGTTGGGAAGAAAAGCTCAGCCTCTGGGGCCGGCAGAACTGGGTTCAAATCCCACCTCTGCCATTTCCCTGCTGTGTGACCCCAGGCCAGTTGCTCAGCCTCTCTGAGCCTCTGTCACCTGTGCGCTGAGCCTTCCCAGGGCCTTTCCAGGAGGATTCTTTGAGCTCAGGCATGTGGCCGGCTGAGCACAGGCCCTGGCGTCGGATTGTACCTACAGGAACGGCTGCTATTATTGTTACTATTACTTTCGTTCACAAGACCCAGAGAGGAAGGACCCTTCGGCAGTGGTGGCAGGCGTGGGGTGCTCACTCCCAGCTCCAGGGATGGGAAGCAGACAGGACGGTGGGAAGACTGGGACCAGGGTAAGCCGAAGGCTGAGGCATCAGGCTGGGGGCGGGGGTGGGGGGACCCATGAAAGACCTTAGGAGCTGCT